GTGAGAGAGAGTGAGTGTGAGAGAGAGAGAGTGATTGAGTAGAGTGAGGTGAGTGATGAGAGAGTGGCTGAGAGAGTGAGTGAGTGTGAGAGAGAGAGAGAGAGTGATTAGTGAGAGAGTGAGTGACTGAGAGTGAGTGGAGAGTGAGAGAGGAGTGGAGAGTGAGTGAGTGAGAGTGACTGAGAGTGAGAGAAGAGAGAGGAGTGAAAGAGAGTGAGAGAGAGTGACTGAGAGTGAAAGAGAGGAGTGAGAGAGTGAGTGAGTGAGAGAGTGAGTGTGAGGGAGAGAGAGAGGTGAGAGAGTGAGTGTGAGAGAGTGAGTGTGAGAGCGAGAGAGGGAGTGAGAGAGTGAGTGTGAGAGAGTGTGAGTGAGAGAGAGAGAGAGTGAGAGAGGGAGAGAGTGAGTGTGAGAGAGTGAGAGAGTGAGTGTGAGAGAGAGAGTGTGTGAGAGAGTGAGTGAGAGAGAGGCCGAGGCTACAGTAACCAGTCAGTAACTGACACTCGTTACTTTGTTGCCAGTCACACAAGTTACTAAATATACCGCGTCCTTCACCCCCCCCCACACCCAGCCCCCCCACCCCCCCCCCCCCCCCCCCCCCCCACACACACCCCCCACCCCCACCCCCACCCCCACCCCAACACCCCCCCCCACCCCCACAACAGGACTCCCCCACACCCCCACCACAGACTCCCACCCCCACCCACCCCCACAGACCTCCCCCACCCCCCCCACACACACACACCCCCCACACCCCCCCCCCCCCCACACACACCCCCCCCACCCCCCCACCCCCACTCCCACACACACCCCCCCCACACCCCCCCCACCCCCCACACAGGACCTCCCCCCCACACACACCCCCACACCCCCCACACACAGGACCTGCCCCCCCCCCACACACAGGACCCCCCACCCCCCCCCACACACACAGGACCTTCCCCTTTTCTCCTCTCTCCGGCGTACTGTAAAGTAACCCCTCCCGCGCTGTGCTTCACGACGAGACGTCAATACACTCATGAGACGTCTCGACGACGTGATAAGGCGCTGTATCAAATGCAGGGATTATTATTATTAATATTAATATTGTTATAAACCGAGGTCCCCTCTGCCTGTTCAGGCGGACGTTAAAGATCCCATTGGCACCGTTCAAAATGAGAAGGAAGTTTCTCTCTCTCACCGGTGTCCTGGCCGACAATCCCTCCCCAAATAAAATTGGTCGCTTCAATCCACGTCCGTTTGTGTGGGGACGCTGCTGTGCGCCGTTGGCTGCCGCGTTTCGTCCACAAAATATACAGTCACTCCACTTTACAGTATATTCTGTGAAGCGCTTTGAGACGTCTCAACGGCGTGAAAAGGCGCTGTATCAAAGGCAAGGATTATTATTATTACAGCGCCTTTCACATCAGAAGAAGAACAGCGCTGCATTGTCGGAGGTGACTCCCTTTGAATGAGATGTTGAAACTGAGGTCCCATCTGCCTATTCAGGCGGATGTTAAGGATCCCGCCGGACTGTTTTAAAAAGAGAGAGAAGGGAGTTTCTCCCGTTGTCCTGGCCAACAATCCTCCAGACAGATTTTGTTACTTGCGGCAAATTGCTGGGCGCAAATTGGATGCCGTGTTTGCTTACGAAATACACAGTCACTACGTTTTATCGTAAATCCTGTGAAGCGCTTTGAGATGTTTCGATGACGTGATAAGGTGCTGTGACAAATGCAAAGATTGTTATATTTTATTAACCCGGTGTCTTTGCATCAGTAATGGCAAAGTGCGTACAGTGCCTTGGTTATGTTATGGAAATATGGCTGTCATGCTCCTGTATGTGTGTGAGCTCTTTGGAAGAGCTGGAGGTTGTATCATAACAAAGTGTAATTCAGAGACGAGCTCTAATCATTGTCTACCGAGGTTATAGCATTGTATCTTCCATCACTCGTGCTAACCTTACGTGCGACGTCAAGTATGTCTGGTTAGCTCTCTATTCTGCGTTGCTTGCAATCGGGCGTTATTTTTAAACCTATAGTATTTAATCAAAACACTTTTGCCCACAAATGACACAGTCGCTACACTTTGCAGTAAATCCTGTGAAGCGCTTTGAGACTTCCTCCCGACAGGGAAAGGCGCAATGTCAAATACTAGTAGGAGGAGGAGTATTATTATTATTACAGTAACCAGAATTGGTAATTCTGACTGTCAGGATTGCTCTGTCATTTTGTTTGTGCTTTCCAATCTCCTTTCTCTGTACTCCTTACTGCCCAAATAACACCCTCTTAGCTCCTCGATTGATGCTGCACCCATTCAATCAGCGCATTCCACACTTAATAATAATAATAATCATAATCCTTGCATTTGATATAGCACTTTTCACGTCTTCTCGACGTCTCAAAGCGCTTCACAGAATATGCTGTAAAGTGAATTGACCGTATATATTTGTGGGCGAAACGCGGTAGTCAATTGCGCGCAGCAGCGTCCCACAAACAGTCGTGGATTGAAAATGACCAATTTATTATTGGTTTGTTTTGGAGGGATTATTATCAGGGGTGTGGAGTAAGGAAACTTGCCCAAGGTTTCGCCCTCTGCCGGGAATTGAACCCAGGTGTCTCGCCTGCAAGGCGAGTGCTCTAACCACTGAGCTACAGGCTCCACAAAGTCCACTTGTACCCTTTGTGGGAAGAAACGCTTTCCACATTCACTGTCGGCTCTGTACATTGCTCTGGGTTTCTCTATTAGAGAAAAGGGAGAAAGAGTGAGAGAGTTGTTCTCTCTCGACCTCGGCAGTTCCCTTTTATTATTTTCGAAGCTCTCGATCAGATCACTTCCTCACCTCCAGGGAATGCAATCCATGTTCCCTCGGGCTCAATTAACCAAGGCCAACTTAACCCTCAGGTGAAATACTCAAGAATGAACACAAAGCTCTCCATGAGGTCTCTGAAAAACTACTGAGTAGTTCCTTGTTTTTGTGGTTGTTCTAATAATAATAATAAATTAACAGCCCTTGCATTTGATCCGGCGCCTTATCACGTCGTTGAGACGTCTGAGAGCGTTTCACAGCATCTATTGTAAAGTAGATTGATTGTGTAGTTTGTGGGTGAAATGTGGCGCCCAGTTTGTCCCTCAAACAGCCATGGAGTGAGTGACCGATATTATTTGGGGGATTGTTGGCCAGGAGACTGGGAGGGAGAAACTCCCTTATGTTTTCGAATAGTGCCATGGGATCCTTTACGTCCACCTAAACAGGCAGATAACAGTCCTTATTTTTTGTTATACTGTAGTGCCCTTCGCGCTGGGAGGAGGTCTCAAAGCGCTTCACAGGATATACTGTAAAGTGTAGTGACTGTGTATTTTGTATTTTAGCCATGAAGTAACCCATTTTATCTAGGGGATTGTTGGCAAGGACACTGGGAGAACCCCCTCCCCCCCCTCTCTTTTTTGAGTAGCGCCATGGGATGTTTGGGTCCAGGCAGATGAAACTTGGTTTAACATCTTACTGGAGGACATTAATGCAGCACATCCCCAGCTCTGCATTGGAGTGGTGCCCGCGGTGGTGGTGTTGGTGGTGGCCGGTGACCGACAGCGTGGTTGAAAAGATGGGTCTTAAGGGAGGTTTAAGACGGGGAAGGAGCGGAAAGACGCAGGGACTCAGGAGCTCCAGCGGGAGATTGCCCAGCGATCATTCAGTAAGAACCTGGCACTAAATGTCCCTGCAGTAGGAGCGCTGACTGGCTGCCTTTCGTTGAGGTGCAGTATCTATTTGCAGCGTATTGTAATGAGCTGCTTCTTTCGTGCGATGCTTCCACTGCAGATATTCAAGTGGCTTACGAGCACTATCACTTATGTGGAGAGAGAGAGAGAGAGAGAGAGAGAGAGCGCGAGAACAATTTTATTTCCACGGAACCTTGTCCATAAATCATCCCCGACTGTTCCCCCTGCCTCCCGCGGTGACACGTACTTCACTTCTGCTGCAGGTGCCAGAGTCACGGCCAGATATCTGACCCATGGACGTGGACCCAACCAGTGGCCACAAAAATTATATTGGACCGGCATCGAGAAACTGCGTCAGCTGACAATTTTTTTGTTCTCCTCGGGCCTGCCTGCCTGCAAGATCGCTTCGTTTCTAAAATTAATTCCAATCACGAGCTAGACTGTAAATCACTTGCGAGTTTGTCTTCACTTCTGGACGTGTTTGTCGATGCTGGCAGCATTCTCGCACTTAATTTCCAAGGATCCAGAGGCTTTGCTTGCTAAAGCAAGGTGGGAATGATGAACTTGTGAGTCTGGTCGCTGGCCTGGGTGGCTGTTCAAATAGGGGAGTGGGGGGGGGCAGAACAGGAGGGGTGTTAAAGCAGTCAGATCTCATGCCTGTATGTGCACACTTGGCAAGAGTCACGAGATGGTCAATTGTATGTAAACTTCTCTCTTTCCCTTCTCTCTGTATCTCTCACTCTTTCTTCCTTCCTCTTCTCTCTTCCCCCCTTTCCCTCCTCTCGCTCTTTCTCCCCCCTCTCTCACACCGCTCGCTCTCTCTTTCTCTCTTTCTGTCTCATGCGCTCTCCTCCTCTCTCTCTCTCTCTCCCCTCCAACAATCTGGCCAACATGCCCCCCCCCCCCCACTCCTCGAAAGAAATTTGGTCGTTTGTATCATGGCTGTTTGTGGAAGGTTGCTGCGCGCAAATCGGCTGCCACGTTCGCCTACAAAATACGCAGTCACTACGTTTCACAGTGAACCCCGTGAAGTGCTTTGGGATGCCCTTCTGAAGTGAAAGTCGCAAAACCAAACATAAGGATTCTTCTCCTCCTCCTCCTCCTTCTTACTTGCAGGCATTCAGGAAATGCGTTGATACGAAGTACTTCGCAAAGGATTTATTGTACACAAAGATATGAGAGAATCGTCAGCTTCAGCGCATGATGCCTCCAACTACACTCGCAGCCACTTAATTGACATATTCTGAATGATTTATGAATCGACTTCCATTGTATACTGACTTCACTGCATCGCATAGATTACGGCTTGGACCGAGTGTTTTGCTTGTGCTGTGTGCGTGTTTTTTTTGGTCAGCCAGGTTTCGGCGACGCGTACGGAAACCCGTAACGGTATCCGAACTGAGAACCCCATGCATCAAAACTCCACCTGCACATTTTCCGAGAGAGGTTATTGGAACTGAATGCGTACTCTCTTCCCTGGAGGGACCTCTCGCCTCACCTGACATCCGCCACGCCCACTTTCCAACAGCTGTCAACTTGACTGCTGTCAGGAGAGGCCGATTGATTATCCGCTTACCTGTTTCTGGAAAATATTAGGCAGGAGCCAAGGCTTCGGGGGATCCCAGAGTCTGCGATGGAGTCTAATCAGATAAAACCTTGTAGCTCGCCACTGAGAGCATTGCCTTGCAAAAGCTTTCCCTTGTCACTGATCATGGCTGATCTAATAAACCAGGAAATCCCAGTGATAAAATTCCTGATCTGTAAAAGCTTCAGTGATGTTGGAATGAAAAGATCTGCCGAGATCTAAAACTGGTGGAACAGGCTCAGTGGGCTGAATGTGCTCCTCCTATTCTGTGTTCCTAGCGGTGCCTCAATTCACAATTGAGGGAGTGAAATCAATCAGCCTCTATTAAGCCTCATATTTGGACATTTTTATCCACCAAAGGACAACCAGCAGCAGTCAAACCAAACCTCAGCACGAGTCTGCAACTCTGAGAGAACATAACGGAGGCAGAGTGAGAGAAAACAACATTGTTTTGGTACAGTCTATACCTATTTTGAAGTTGAATAAGACCCTAAGTGAATTGAATCCACCTCTCTATACAGTCTATGAGTAGTTCAGGACATGAGATAATAATCCTTGCATTTGATATAGCGTCTTATCGCAGCTTCAAGTTGTCCCAAAGCACTTCACAGAATATACTGCAAAGTGAATTGACTGTATATTTTGTGGGCGAAACGCGGCAGCCAATTGCGCACAGCAGCGTCCCCACAAACAGCTGTGGATTGAGTGACCAAATTATTATTATTATTATTGCATGCAACTGGCAGGATGGTGGAAGGTGAACTGGGTGGACCTTGGTCTTTTTTCGTCTAGCAATTCCTATGCTTGGCTGACGTGCTAAACCAGGTTTGGAACTTGCAAATGCTTCTCACTTGTCGAAATGTTTATTTTCAGCATTGTGGTAAGAGAATAAGATCGTGCCAGGCAGAATAACATGGCACTGATAGTTACTACTGGTATTAATCCTCAGTGTCGCCATTGCTTACCTAGCATGACAAGTGCTCTCAGTTAAATTTCCACTGAATCAGTTCAGCCCCGATTCCTGTGCATTTTATCATGTTGCCCCAAGCCTCCTGGCTTACACAATTAATTCAGTTTACAGGTGCAAAACCTGGATTCGTTCTCTTTTTTTTCTCTCACTCTCTTTCTCTCTCTGCAGAGAATAATATATGGCCTTTATGCAACATTAGTAAAGCAACTTTGCAGCTCAGGAATTTTATCGCTGGGGCTTTCTGTTTTATATTCAAGCCGGACATTCCTATGTCATTACTCTGGATCCGAATTTACATCCTACCACAGACACCGAACCAAGGCTTGATTTCCCCCTTGTATCGGAGTTTGATTTACAGTGGACAATCAGGAGATAGGATTCTGCAATTTTAGACTGGGATTTTTGGCAGTGAAAAATGGATCAGTCCGTTTGATTGTCTGTAAATCAACTAAATCCACACAGGCCTATATCATGTTTGACCTGGGATATGTGCTGAATTGAGGTACCAACTCTTATGATTTTATTTTCCTGGGTATGGTGGGGGGGGCCGGGGGGTAATAAGGCCAATTCTAATACCCCAAATGAGACCATTTTTGAAATGCTGCCGCGTTTCGCCCACAAATCTACAGTCAATTCACTTTACAGCATATTCTGCGAAGCGCTTTGAGACGTCGAGAAGCCGTGAAAAGCGCTATATCCAATGCAAGGATTATTATTATTATTAGATCTTATCCAATCTACGAATCGTTACGAAACAATTTTTGGTCAGCCGGGTGTCTGACCCACTTGGAATCCCAATCACCATGTTTTAACAACATCCAAACCAAAAAAACTGAGAAATACACACACCACAACAACAACAACTTGCATTTATTCACGCGGGGTAGTGTCCCAGAGCACTTAACCGGGGAATGCCGTTCACATTAGTTTCCCGGGAAGGGAACGCACGCTGCGTACCGAATCCCAGAAAGAGTTAGGCGCAGGTTGGCAAGAGCCAAAGCTTGGGAGAACCCCAGATTGTGCGTTGGGGTACCTGCTGGATTTTAAGCAGCCAAAAGCGTGGAGTTTACCATTATAGGGTTAACAGAAGCTGAGTGGTCAGAATTCCTGTACTAAATATCATACCTGGAGAGTATCTATTAAGTAAATTGCCCTGGTTCTGACAGGTAATTTGTAGGACAGATTGGTTGTAACATTCATCTTTTAACCCGCCCTTTTGCCTTATTAATCTTAGCCCTAAATGGCGTAATCCTTTTAACACGCCTTATAACGAGCTAACGATTCTTTTCATCCAATCATTCCTCAAAGCATTACACCATTATAAGTGTCTGTGCCAATCCAGGTCAGGGCTGCGAGTGTTATTGGTTTTTTTTGTTGTTGTGGTAAAATGTTGGGGAACTTTTGGGAAAACGTCAAAACAAACAGTTGCATTTTGTGTCAGACCCCATGACTTCGAGAACGGGATGAGTGACTTTGAATCGCTGAACCGTTGAGTCAGCAAAATCTGCCACAACAGCCCTGTAAACCAAAGCCCCGAGGAGCAGGGTGATTCTCGGCTGCTACAAGCAGCAAAGGTGAACGGTCGACGAACCTTGTAGGTTTGGCGTGTTCAGATGTGGAAGGAATCTTGACCAGGACCCTGGGGAGCGCTCCCTGTTCTTCTCCCCCGTCTTTATGAATAAGACTGGCCGGTCACAGGGTATATCAAGTCGCTTATCCCCTTACATTGTGTTTCACCCACAGAATATACAGTCAATTCACTTTACAGTCTATTCTGTGAAAAACGCTTTGAGACGTCTCGAAGACGTGATAAGGCCCTATATCAAATGCAAGGATTATTATTATTATTATTGCCCTGGGACAGCTGTCCTGGGCCCCACTTGTATAAATCTGACCGAAATCAAGGTCCTATTCTTACCAACAGCAACTTGGACTTACACAGCGATCTCCACGCAGGGGAGTGTAAACGTAAGGATTAGTCTGATTATTATTATTATTAGAACTTGATCGTGTAGACATTGTGTTTTACAAAACGCAGGGCAAAGAGTTATTAAAAAATACTTGGTATAAATAATTAATAATTTGAGGTCTTGGCTTTCAGTCACTGTTAACTGAGTGACTAACACAGCGCTGGTAAAATATAATTGTGCTGAGCTGAGACTCGTTCATTACAATGTTAATCCACAGGATGGGTAATTTATTCATGTTCTATCACATTTAGCTTGGATTTGTGCATCTGTATGTGCTATTATACAGGCTCCTTCAACCATGAGATTGAATTAATTACGCGTGAAACACGTGCTTTAATCAGCCACCTCTTGTGTAATTAAAGGGCTCTCTCCCTCCCCCCCCCCACTTACGCCTGCTTCCCTTTCCCCCATTACAGGATGTGTGTTCCTTACTCGTCCAAGCCTGCCGGCTTGTCCAGCTGAACAAGGAGCATCTCGTGAGCAAAGTCTGTCAGCTTATCCACCATCTACTTAACCGCTTCCAGGTAGGAACTCGAACTGTTGAAGTTAATTCTGGCCTGAGGGGGTGAGACTTGCTCCCATCCTCCGTGCTTTCCTCAACGGTGATACATTGTTTGTTCTAAAGGCTTCCCTAAGGGGTTTATTTAGTTTTTTTTTGTTTAACCCAATGTCCGACACATGAAAACTCATGACCGTGCTTAAGAGTACCCGAACCAGACCGAGAGTTCCATGCATTGCTATCTACACGTGGAAATTTCCCCGGGTCTGGAATGGAATGCGCACTCTCTTCACCCCCCGCTCCCCCCAAGAGATGCACACGGTTTACCTAATTCTAGAGAGTTTTGGGCACAGGTTAGCAAGAGCAAAGGCTTGGAGACCCGAATAGTGTGTGTTGGGGTGAGTGCTGGAGTTTAACCAGCTAAAACCGCTTAGCTTGCCGTTGAGAGGACTGTTTGTCCAGTTTACCATTTAAGCTGTGAGGAGACCCTGCTTAAATCACCCCTGAATCCTCTCCTGGACGATCAAAGGGTTATCAAGAGAGTTTGGGATGGGGAGTGAGGTGGGAGGGGTGGTGGAATGGGTAGTAGATCTTGATCTTGATAGTGCCACACTTTTTTGGTCAGCTGGGCGTCTTGACACGTGAGGAAACCCATCACCGTGCTTAAGAGTATCCAGACCAAACTGAGATTTCCGTGCGTCCCACCCACCTACAGAGTCGCTGAGGCAGGCCCCAGAAAGAGCGCTTGCCTTTCTGAAGGAACGAAATTCTGCACGGAATGAAATGCGTTTTACTCTGCTGTGCCCTCAGGTGGTTGTGGATGAGCAAAGCCTGGACTTTCTTCTGTCCTACACCATCAGAGCTCTGCGGCAATGCAACTCGTGGACTCACATCGATATACTGCAAGCTGTGGCTGCTCTCGTCTACAACAATGGACCTCGGTGCCAGAAGGTACTGTTTCAACATCAAATGGATTCTGCTTTTCGTTTTGTTTTAAATATTTATTTATTTAAGAAAAAAACCCTATCGAGGCATTTCCCTAATGTCGATTTTCTGGTTCAACAATGCACTCTTTACGTTCCTAATAATAGTAATAATAATAATAATGATAATAATGGTTACATCATGTCTTATCTCAAACAGAGGGCTTTGCACAAAGGGTTAGGCTTCTGTTATTCAGTACACTTTTGTAGGAGTTCGTTCCTGTGGTTTGCTGTGTTTTCCGTGCACTTGATACGTCACTTTTCATGTCGGGAGGACGCCTCAAAGCGCTTCACAGGATTCACTGTAAAGTGTAGCGACTGTGCATTTTTATAGGTGAACGCAGCAATTTGTGCAAATTAATATCTCACAGGTAGATTTGGAGCGAATGGCAAGTTTTGTTGGGAGGTGGTGGGGGCAGGGGACGGGAGGGATTGTTGGCCAGGACACAGGGAGAAACTCGCTCCTCTTTGAATAATGCAGTGGAATCTTTAATGTCCAACTGGCAGACATGGTCTCTTCTCATTCCAAAGCATGGCACCTTCCACAATGCAGCCCCTCCCTCTTCCCCCACTCCCCTTCCCCTCCCCAATATGGTATTAGAGTGTCAACCTAAAGTGTGATTTCCAAGTCCCGAACTGGGGCCTGAACCCACTAACTACCTTCCTACTCGGAGGCGAGAGCGCTACCACTGAGCCAGACTGACACAGAATATGTACAGCTTCTGTCAAAAACACGCACTCAGAAATGACTGGAGAAACGTTTAAATGTTACTCTCTCTTCCAGCTTCTCCCAGACCTTCTCGGAAAAGATGGAATCTTGTTGCAGCTCAGCAGCCCAACGCAGACCGATGTGGAGCTCAGGAGAGCAGCGGTCTACTGCATGGTCAACCTCTGCCTCGGGTAATCTTATCCCCTGATTACATAGAAACAGGAGTAGGCCATTCAGCCCCTCCAGTCTGTTCTGCCATTCTATAAGGTCATAATAATAATAATAATAATCCTTGCATTTGATATAGCGCTTTTCACGTCGGGAGGACGTCCCAAAGCGCTTCACAGTACACACTGTAAAGTGAATTGACTGTATATTTGTGGGCGAACGCGGCAGCCAATTGCGCACAGCAATGTCCCACAAACAGTCGTAGATTGAAAATGACCAATTTAATTATTGTTTTGGGTTTTTGGAGGGATTATTATTAGGCTCTGTGTGGAGTAAGGAAACTTGCCCAAGGTTTCGCCCTCTGCCTGGAATTGAACTCAGGTCTCTCACTTGCAAAGCGAGTGCTCTAACCACTGAGCTACAGGACTGATCTGTACCTCAAGCCCAATTACCTGCCCTTGTCCCATATCCCTTAATATCCTGATCTAAGAAATCTCTATCCGCCTCAGTCTTGCAGATGTGGATGGATCCAGCATCCACAGCCTTTTTGGGAAGAGAATTCCAGATTTCCACTACCCTTTGGCTAAAAAACTGCCTCCTAATTTCATTCCTAAATAGCCTCGCTCTAATTCTAACACTTTGTTCCCTCGTTCCGGATTCCCCTCACCAGAGGAGATAGTTTCTCTGTGGCTACCCTATCGAATCCCTTTATTATTTTGAAAACCTCAATCAGATCACATCTCAACCTTGCCCTTGGTTTGGAAGAGAGAGATAGACAGAAGCTCTTTAAGGGAATTACTGGGTCAAGTCTTTGAATAGAACGATGCAGTCAATAGATTATTATTATTATTAATAAGATAGTTTTTACTGAATTTTCTTTCCCACCGGGTTTACCTTTTTTAAAAAAAATAATTTTCCCCCTCCCCCTTTCATTTTTTGTCCCATTTGTTGACTCGCCAAATAGATTCCCCCCCTTTTTAAAAGAAAAAACACAAATACAGTAAAACTCGCAGAAGTCTGATCTGTATAAATCGTATAATCGCCTATAATCTGTCAAAATTCCATTGAATTTCCTATTAAATCCACTTCAGTTCATCTGCACTAGTCATCCAGTCCTCGGCTTTTTGGATTACGAAACTACCTTGATGACCCTTGTACAAGATGATCAAAAAGTCATGAAGTTATCCTATTATCTAAAAAAAAATATATATATATATATCATCATTTCCTTAAGACTTGTAATGGTCTCAGGACTTTTTGGTCGCCCTGTACATACATGGCCAGGTCAGGAGAAAGCTGACTTGTTAACTGAGCCACTGTTCAAGAGCCCTAGGACCCTCCCCTGCACGAGGGGCGCTATATAAATGCAAGTTGTTGTTGTTGTTGTTCTGCCTGTCCGCCCGCCCGCCCAAAGTGACCCTCCAATGTGCCCTCTGGTGGCCAAGTGGACAACTTACAAATGCCATGGTCCATTCTGAAAATACAGTAATTCATCAATTGGCCACTAGGATTTCCAACTGGTTGTCTTTCCTCCATTTTCCCTTCTCTTCTTCCTCCCCCACCCAAAACAAAAAGGATTTTCTCCTCTCCTCTCTTGAGAGCGCTGACTCTTGCTGGGTTAACGGTTACAGCAGCTTTGTGCTGACTCCTGATTGCTGCCCAAGTACACGTCAGTAGCATTTGGCCTAAACGTTGACCAAGATGAGGTTGTAAAGCTCCTCACTTATCTTGCCTCAATCGTAGCTAAATACTTTCCCCCCCACCCGCCGCCATTCTGGATTGAGCAAAATTATATATTTTTTTCGTCACACGGGGAAATACATCGTTATGGTTAAGAGTATCCAAACCACTGGTGACGAGAGTTCCACACCAAACCCTCCCCCACACAAGAAAGAACGAACCCTGCTCACCTAATTCAAGATTCTCAAGCACAGGTTGGTGATCTTTGGAGGACCTCAGATGTGCATTGGCTTTGAGATACTGCTGGAGTTTAACCAGCTAAAACCTGTAGCTTACCATTGCGAGCACTGGCTGGCAAGCTACCCACTGTTTTGTGGCTAGGACCACCTCACCCATTCGGTCTTTGGGCTTGTAGAGTTACCAGGAGCTGAACTGGAAGTATCACTGTCTCTAGGGCAAAATAAAAAAAAACCTTGCATTTGAAGTTATTTATTATAGATAAATTTATTATAGATTCAAACATGTTCACAGTATATTACAGTAATAATAATAATAATCCTTGCAATTGATATGATGTCTTATTATGTCTTTGAGCCATATATAAGTGTAAGCCAATAGACTGCGGGATGTATTGAGCAATGTCTTGCTGTTGGTTTTATCCTGGTGATAGAGTGCCTGGGCAGCCTTGCCTGGAGGAGCAGTACAGAAGTGTGTCTTTACAGACCTTCCTCACGGTGCTGAGGACTTCGAAGAAGCCTGACGTTGATGACATTACATATTGTAAGGTAACTACTGTAGCTGTTGCTTCTCTGACAAAGTCACTCCACGTGTGTCAAAATAGTGTTTACCTTCTCCTTTCAAATCTTTCCAACCATGACCTTTTGGTAGAGAGACCAAATCTCGACCATGATTTTGATTGGATGCTCTTGAGCACAGTGAAAGATTTACTCATGTGTCAGACCCCTGGCTGTGCCCCCCCCCCCCACCCCACCTTTCCTCCCCAAAACATCTGAGTGGAATATCTTGCCTCCCGCCACCCTCCCAAATGTTGTGTGTGGTTGTGATGTGACTCTGATTTCTGTTTCAGTTACTGCAGAATGGGTTGAAGGGGATCCATTCCATCCTGAGCGCAGGGAGAATGCAATTGACACAGACTGACCAGCTCGGCAGCCTCCTGGCAGCTCTGAAGGTAAGGTGTTGGGGGGGGGGAAGTAAGAGCAGATTATCAACAACAACAACAAAAAATTGCATTTGTATATCGACCCTTGTATCATCCCCAGTACGTTTGCTCTGAAGCTTTGGGGAGGTGGGGCAGGGGGGAAAGGGGCTGGTATTTACTATTCCTTGGAGGATGTCATTTCAGACCTTGGCTGTGGGTTTCCGTCAGCCTCTGGTGTGGCTGCACTTTTAGGGAAGTGGTCTTTTATCTATTATAGGATTACTAATCCTTGCATTTGATACAGCGCCTTATCACGTCTTCGAGAAGTCTCAAAGCGCTTCGTAGAATATAGTGTAAGTGAATTGACTGTATATTTTGTGGGCGAAACGTCTATTCAATATACAGCTTAAATTTTCGTTTAGGTTGCGCCTATCACGTCGGGAGGACGTCTCAAAGAGCGTCGCACAGCTGGCTGGGCAAACAAGTTAATCCACGGTAACCTATGATAACCTAAGATAACCTAAACTTGTTGTTGTAACCTAACCTAAGATAACTAAGTACAATTAACTGGTTGCTAAATAATCCAGTGATCCACAGCTCCGGTGTCTATCTCCTCATCACTGTCCTCTCTCTCTGCCCGTTTCTTCTCAGACCTACATGTTTTATGGGCTTCCGGGTGTGAACATCAAGGTTCCGGCAGCTCTTTACCCAGCGCCGATGCCCCAGTACGAAGGCTGCTCACCCTCTCAAAAGGAGCAGGCGGCAGACTCTAACAGCTCCTCGAAGCAGCCAGGGGTAAGTCCTCACCACTCAAAGCTTTCAGTCGGAGTTTGCCCTTGATGTGGCCAGACGTGTATCGGAAGGTGAAGAACTGGAGGACAGTCAAATTAAATCAAGATGTCTGGCAAATAATACTAATAATAATGCTTGCATTTGATATAGCACCTTATCACGTCTTCGAGATGTCTCAAAGCATTTCACAGGATTCGCTGTAAAGTGAATTGACTGGTACATTTTGTGAGCGAAACCCGGCAACCAATTGCGCACGGCAGCGTCCCCACAAACAGTCGTGGATTGAGTGACCAGATGATTTATTATTTATTCATTAGACAAATTAGACGCTCCCCCCCACCCCACCACCCAAACCAGCGAATGTCTCCAGCAGTAAGTAAAAGGGACGAGAATTGAAAACTCCACATACAGCTGCCGTCTAATTTGTGTTCTAACATACACAGCTGTGTTAGATTTTTTTGTTTCTGTGTGTGTTCGTGAAAGTGTGTGCGCGCAAGATAGAGAGTGAGCGTGTGTGCGCAAGCGAGAGAGTGGGCGATTGTGTGTTTGAAACAGAGAGATTGAGTGTGTTCAAGAAAGTGTGTGGTCCGGAGAGAATGTATGAACGCCTGATCAAAATTGAATGAGCGTGTGTTTGAGAGAGAGATTTTGTGTGTGTTTGTATGCAAGAGAGAGAGACTGTTTGTGTGTGTGTGTATGTGTACATGAATGCGTTTGGATCCATACAAATGAAGATGTCTCCTTGACTGAATCGCATGATGTTGTTCTGTTGTCCTGGTTTGCTTGACTGCATATTACAGGCAAGGAGATCATCCGAATATCATTATATCCTATTACAGTGCAAAATGGATCCTGCTGGAGAAATCCAATAATCCAATCCTATCTCTCCCTTCACCACCCCCACCACCCCCATCAGGCAGCCACCCATAAGTTATCTGTGGAGTCCTGTACCTCAGTGGTTAGAGCACTCGCCTTGCAGGCGAGAAACCTGGGTTCGATTCCCAGCCCTGCAAAATGTTTCCTTATTCCACACGCCTCTGTTTACCGAGCAGTAAGTAGGAACCCGGTTGTTAGTCGATTGGCGGATCGCTTTTTCGGGGATAATAATCCCTTCAAATTGCTCACTCAGTCCACGACTGTTTGTGGGGACGCTGCTGTGTGTGATTGGCTGCCCCGTTTCCCCCACAAAATATACAGTCGATTCACTTTATAGTATATTCTGTGAAGCGATTTGAGAGGTCTCGAAGACGTGAAAAGGCAATATATCAAAATGCAAAGATTATCTTGTAAACAGCTGAGTGGACTGTAAGCTGTCTGCTTTCTGGTGGATTTGATTCCTTGATTAATGGGGTGTTGCTGCAACGTCAAAGACAGCCTTTAGATTTAGTGTCAGGAGTGACATCCGGAGACCAAAGAGCTACAGGAAGGAAAATGATTGAATTAGTATCATCTTATTTTAAATGACGGTAGTAGAAGGTGGGGGAGGGGGGCCGGAGGGAGGGGTGGGGTGGGGGGAAGAATCACAGTCTTATTTGTCGTTGAGCGATTGTGTTGTGAAAGTGATGGATCTACTCAGATCTCGAGTGAGCTGTAACTGAGGACCGGGTGGATAAGAGCAGCGGTGCAGTGCTATGTGGTTTCTTGCTGCCATGTGCGCAGGATACACTTGAGAGAAGCCAGAGGTTTCCCCTTAAAGATTAGAGTTACGTAGCCTGATTCCTCCTTTCACAGCTGACCAGGAGGCAACAAAACAAAATGTGTTACTTCAAATCAATCAAATTCAATCAATCAATTCAATCATTGCACTTGATCACGGCAACTTTCATGTCAGGAGGACGGACGTACGTCTCGAAGCTCTTCACTGGATTTCACTGCAAAGCGTAGCAACTGTGTTTTTTTTAATCAACTAACGTGATTTTCTCCCACACAATACACAGTCAGTTCATTTTACGGTACATTCTGTGATGGAAGCGCTTTGAGACGTCTCGAAGACGTGATAAGGCGCTATAATCAAATGTAAGGATTATTATTATTATGTCATCATTTAATAAAGGGTCTTGTTTTTTTTTCCATGAAATTTTCATCTTCGAAAACCAAACCCGGTGATGATGATGATGGTGCTGGTGGTGGGGCAAAAAAAAAGCATAAGAAAAAAAAATCAAGATCCAAGAGTAAGAGGGAGTCGGCGGGGGAGGAGCGGAGGGAAGATGGAGGAGGGGAGGAGGCGGAGATGCTGCAGAGGTTGGAGATCGGGAAGGCGAGTACAGGAGACTCCGCGTTCAGCCTCCGCCAACCACCCAGGGGCCACTCGGACGGCACAGTGACCTCCTCCGACGGGAAAGACGCTCCGGGCTCCTTCTATCCCAGCTGGAAGAAAATCAACAGCTCCGACTCCGACTATTCCGACACCGAAGGAGGAATCCAGGGCAAATTGAGGTCAATTCCTCCTCTTCTTCTTCTTGTTGCTACATTTGGGTTTTGAATGAAAGGCGTAATGATGATGATGATGATAATAATAACAACCATCCTTGCATTTAATATAGTGCCTTATTATAATAATATAATAATAGTAATAATAATAATGCAAGATAATACTTTCATTTGGAAACCGCTCCTTATCACGTCTTCGAGACGTCTCAAAGCGCTTCGCAGAATAAACTGTAAAGTGTAGTGACTGTGTAATTTGCGGGTGAAACGAGACAGCCAATTGCGCACGGCAGCGTACCCGCAAACAGACGTGGATTCAGTGACCGTATGTATCATACATTACACTGTTACACCTCTTGCCTTACGATTTAGTTTTGCTTCGCCTGCAGGTCACTTCAAGGGAAAGTCCGCCAGGGAGCTTTGGCCTCTTTCCTCTCGACTATAAAGTCGATCGAGAAGAAGGTTCTGTATGGCTACTGGTCGTCATTCATCCCCGACGCTCCCGGGATCGGAGGTCCACAGACCATGTCGCTGATGACCATCGCTTTGAAAGACCCTTCGCCAAAGGTACGCAGACCCTTTTCCACATAAAAGGTCGATGGTATGTCCTGAAGTCAGAGAGAGAAGAGAGATGGGATACGATCTCTCTTCCTCTCTCTCACTCGGCAGGACTTGAGCTCACATAGTCTAAGCTGACACTGCCACCGCAATGCTGGGGGAGTGCTGCGTTGGCGGAGACGTTAAACTAAGGTCTCGTCTGGCACCTGTCGAGGTGGGACGTTAACAATCACCATGGCACTGCTCAAACAGAAAAGGGAGTCTGTCTCTCTCTCTCTCTCCCGGTGTCACGGCCACTTGGAATAAAATTGGTCCCTCACTTAATGGCTGTTTGTGGGACGTCGCCGTGCACAAATGGGCGGCTGAGTTTGCCTAACAAATACGCTGCTGCTTGACTTCACGGTAAATCCTGTGAAGGGTCTTTGAGACACGCTGAGGGTTTTCTGTGTGTGTCTCAGGTCCGAACCGGGGCCCTCCAGGTCATGTCAGCCATGTTGGAAGGATCAAAGCAGTTCCTGTCGGTCGCTGAAGACGCCAGCGATCATCGTAGAGCCTTCACTCCTTTCTCCTCCATCTTGGCTTCCAGCATCCGGGAGCTTCACCGTTGCCTCCTCCTCGCTCTCGTGGCAGAGTCCTCCCAGCAGACACTCACACAGATCATCAAGGTACCGGGCAGCTCTCTCTCTCTCTCTCTCTCTCTCTCCCCCACGCTCTCTCTCCCTCTCTCTCTCGTGTTCCTGTGATGCAAAGTTTAGCATTTCACTTCATGTCCGGACTGCTAAAGTTATCACTCAAGCAGTTGCTCTTTCGCTCTCGCCCATATCTCTCACCTCCCTCTCTGCTCCCCTGACACGTTCGTCGCCTCTTTCTCCCCGATCCCCGCTCCCACCCCCTCCCTCCCTCTGTCCGAGCGAGTTTACCAGAACCTTCCTCCCTCCGCCCTGGTCACCTGCACGTTACCTCGCGCCAGGCGTGCATGGCTTTACGACGACAACAATAACAATAATCCTTGAATTTGATACGGCGCCTCATCGTGTCTTCGCGACGTCTCAAAGCGCTTCACGGAACGTACTGTAAAGTGAATGGACCGCATTATATTTTGTGAGCTTTGTCTTGATCTGGCCTCATTGTTCCTCTCCTCCCCTCCCACCCCTGTGTTCTCTCTGACACCGCCTGGTTTTCATCAATCACACTCCCACCAGCTCCTCAGAGGAGCGGAGCACAAAACAGAATATTTTTGCCTGTTCAGGTGGACGTTAAAGATTCCCACTATGACGCTCTTCGAGAAGGGAACGGAGGTTCTCCCGGGCTCCTGGCTAACGTGCTTCCCGACTTGACAGTCAATTCGCTTTTACGCCATGTTGTGTGCAGCGCTTTTGGACGTCTCAACGATGTGAAAAAGTGCTGTGTCAAATACAAGGATTATTATCATTACTTTAAGGTTGATCGTGGCCGAGGGCAGGACCTGGCTGTCAGCAAAATGGTCCACCGTGTCCGTCAGCAATACCTGTGCTTTACAGTAACCCCTGTGAAGAGCTGAGCCGTGTTGCGATGTTATAGAAGCAAAGTTGTCTTCTGATTGTAGTGACTGTGTCTTTGACAGTCCAGGTGGGGACGGTATCCCACCATTAATCTGTTTTCCCCCTCTCTCTCTCTCTCTCTCTCTCTTAGCTTTCAGGGCTCTTTGTTATCTCGGGTTAATTAACTCCGTGATCCTCTTTCTCTTCCCCCCCTCCTTTTATTTCCTTTCCGAATCAGTGCCTTGCGAATCTGGTCACCAACGTGCCATACACCCGCCTGAAGCCGGGACTGCTCACCCGGGTCTGGAACCAGATCAAACCTTACATCCGCCGCAGAGGTCGGTGCTCGCTCGCTCGCCCACTTGATGTTTACCCGTGAGAGAAGGTGGGGGGGGGAAGCGTTCCCCCTCACCCGCCCGGGGTGATAAACCCACAATCCCCTTACTTACTGGGTTGAAATCCAGCCTCAAATCCTACCTTTTTGAAGGAGCCTATGATCTCCCTCCCTCCCACCCTCCCTCCCACTCCCTCTCTCTCTCTCTCCCTCCCTCCCACCCTCCTCCCTCCCTTCTTGTTGCTGCTGCTGTTGCTGCTGCTGTTGCTGCTGCTGTTGTTGTTGTTGCTGCTGCTGCTGTTGTTGTTGCTGTTGTTGTTGCTGTTGTTGCTGCTGTGGTTGTTGTTGTTGCTGTTGTTGACCCATACTGCGCTTCCTCTCACAGACGTGAACGTCCGGGTGTGCAGCCTGTCCCTGCTGGGGGCCATCGTGTCCGTACAGGCCCCTCTGGCCGAGGTGCAGCTCCTCCTGCAGCAGCCCAGCTCCTCGGGGGTCCCGGGGGCCGCTCACGACTCGGAGAACTGGCGGAAGCCGCAGCCGCAGGCGGGGGGCCGTGCCGGGGAGACGGAGGGCGGAGCTGAGGGCGGGCCGAGCGAGCTCCGCTGGCTGGTGCAGCTGTGCGTGTCCATCATTACCGTCCCCAAACAGGAGCCACAGTCAGACAGCGACGTCTCCATGGGGCCCACGGGAGGCCTGTATGAGCCCTCGCCGGTCAGGGTGGAAGCCCTGCAGGTCAGTCACTACTCTCTGCTCTGATCGTAGTCTTTTTTTTGTTGGGTAGGGGGGGCGCAGCGGGGGGGGCGGCGTGGGGGGTTCAGCCAGGTGTCTGACACACCCGGGAACGCACAGCACCGTGCTCAAGAGCATCCCAAGCCCAACTGAGAATGATTCCACGCATCCCGCCCCTACCCACGGACGTACCAGAGACAGGCTGTTGGAACGATGGCCATCCAGTAACAGTGCTAACGATGAATATCATAGTGAGCGCGTGAACTCGATTCAGTGCTCTTTCACGTCAGGAGCGCGGCTCAAAGCTTCGCCGCCTTTACTGTTAAATTTACTGTTTCTAAAAATCTCTTGGTGGTTTTCTCTGCTTGTGTGTGTGTGTGTGTGTGTGTGTGTGTGGGGTGGGGGGTTGTGGGGTGGGGGGTTGTGGTGAGAGGAAGGAGAGAGAAATGTGGAGTAGGCAGGAGTGGATGGGGTGGGGGAACGGGACGGAAATCATAGAAATCAGGGCGGGGGAGAAATGGGGGGAAATGCGGGTTTGACGCCTCTTACTCTCTGTTTGCTCCTCCAGGTGATGGCCCTGCTTATCAAGGGCTATTTCACAATGGCCCAGGGCTCCCTGCTGGAGCTCGGGGAAGTGGCTTGCAAATGCATGGAGGAATCGGATCCGTCCATTCAGCTGCACGGAGCCAGGGTAAGGAGACCTGTTGGGGACTGAAGTCAGCAGCAAGCCAACAAATTTGCGTAACATTTGGCGACTTGCGAATCTCTGACTGTCCAGCGCCTTCAGACGTCTTCCCGACGTGGAAGGCTCTGTACGGGTGTAACTTGTTGTCGTCGTGGGTGTTCTGATTGGGGATGGCATCTGTGTTTCAGCTGCTGGAGGAGTTGGGGTCAGGGATCGTTCAGCAACATAAGCAGGAGTCTCCTGTGGCCATCGATCAAAGGGTGCCAGTCAGCCAGGTATGTCACTGTTTCTGTCAGAGGGGGCGGTCGGGGAGTGGGGAGAGAAAGAGAGAGAGAGAGTGGGAGGGAGGGACAGAGAGGAGGAACAGGAGGGAGAGGGGGAAGGGGAGTGGGGGAGAGGGGGAAAGGAGGAATAATAATCATACACACACACAGTCACACTACTTTACAACATATCCTATGACGCACTTTGCGACATCTCGACAATGTGCCGCTCTACCCCCCGGCTCGGGGTCAGGCTCCACCACTGTTAAGCGCTCTGAGACACTACCCTGCGTGGAGGGCGCCGTATAAGTGTAAGTTGTTGTTGTTGAGGCTTCATTCAGATGTTGTCTCCAAACGCAGGTTACGACCTTTTGGTTGCGGATGCTGAATGGTCCTCTCCCAGCGGCATTACAGAACAGCGAGCACGCCACACTGCAGACCAGCGCCTGTGATGCCATCTCCTCCATATTGCCAGAGGCTTTCAGCAGTCTGCCGGTAAGCGCCGGGCCGGAAATACAGTGGAGTCCTGTAGCTCAGTGGTTAGAGCACTCTCCTTGCAAGTAAGAGACCTGGGTTCGATTCCCGGCCAGGGAGAAACCTTGGGCAAGTTTCCTCACTCCACACGCCTGATAATAATCCCTCAAGAAAAAAAANCCCAATAATAAATTGGTCACTTCAACCCACGACTGTTTGTGGGGACGCTGCTGTGCGCAATTGGCTGCCGCGTTTCGCCCACAAATATACAGTCAATTCACTTTACAGTCTGTTCCGTGAAGTGCTTTGAGGCGTTCAGAAGACGTGAAAAGTGCTCTTATCAAATGCAAGGATTATTATTATTAGATTATATCAAATGCAAGGATTATTTATTGTTGTTAAACAGCAGCTTGGGAATCCCGAGTCGTGGTGTGTTAGCCGACACGTATTGGAACATAGTTTCTCGCCTGGCTTAGTTGGTAGAAGTTTCGCCTCTGAGTCTAAAGGTACTCCGAGCCACTACGCCCTGAAACTATGGAGCTCTCTGCCTTAAGTCCCCCGCCTTGCACCCTCCTTGCCTGTCTTCAGATTGTCCCTGAAGATCTTCCTCTTCGACCGTGCCTACTGTTACCTCCCACCCCCCCACTCTCCCCCCGGGGTGAACTATGTAATGCTGGCATCCCCTTTTCACTGAGGGTGCTGTACGGCTGCAGATGGCGACTTGTAACTGAGCTGAATTGTTGATGGATTTTTGTTTTGCCAGAACGAGAAGCAGATCCTGTGCATCACCGTGCTGCTGGGACTGAATCACAGCGAGAACCTGCTGGTGAAGGCAGCAGCCGTCAGGGCACTGGGGGTCTACGTCCTGTTCCCCTCGCTGCGACAGGTCAGCCCGATCCCTCATTAACCTCTTTAAAGGCAATGCAGAACCACTTCAAAGCTCTGCCGCTCTGAAAATGCTACGTATCAGATGTGACCATTATTTTTATTGGTAAATTGGGAGGAGGCTATCCCATTGTGCCTGTTTGTGCCCTGTGTTGGCGGTAGCTCCCCCACCAGCTCCAATCCCATTTCCCTGCTTCCTCTCCATACCGTTTAAAAGTTGTTTCTCTCTTTCTTCCCCGCCGCCGCCCACTCCCCCCCCCCCCCGCTTCCTAAATATTTATCCAATTATAATAACAATAACCCTTACCGTTTGATACAGCGCCTTATCACGTCTTCGAGACGTCTCGAAGCGCTTCACAGGATATACTGTCAATTGAATTGACTGTGTATTTTGTGGCCGAAATGCCTTGAGATTTGGTTGAACTCTCCCTCTTTTTCTTTCTCTCTCTCTCTCTCTCTCTCTCTCTCTCTCTCTCTCTCTCTGTCTCTGTCTCCGTGTACCAGGACGTGATGTTTGTGGCCGACACCGCGAATGCCGTCCTGACCTCCCTGGATGACAAGTCCCTGAACGTCCGCACCAAGGCTGCCTGGTCACTGGGCAATCTCACCGACACGCTGATTGCCAACATGTACGTACACCGCTTCTCCGCTGGAGCTCGTGCTCTGGCACCGTACAATCTTCCTCTGCGTTAGAAGGTCGATGTTTAACAGGTGTTTAACGTGTGCACTGTCCCATCCACCCCCCCACCGACAGAGGGGGGGCGAACTTTCAGCCACTCCGCCCACGCTTTGTGGAATCCCATTCCAACGTCCGTCTGCCTCGCCCCCTCCCCTCCCCTCCTTGCCTTTTGAAGCCCACCCCCCACTTAAGTCCGATCTTTACAACCATGTTTTTCGGTTGTCTCCTCCCAGCCTTGCTTGCTCGCTCGCTTGCTTGGTTACTCACTCACTCAGCTCCTCACCCCCCTACAATGACTAAATTAAAATTTTAAATAACCCCCGCCCCCCACCCCTGCCTAAAGACCTTCCTTTTTGATCGTGCTTACGGTCACCTCCCCTCCCACTCTTCCCCGTGGCTTGTTGTCGGACTCTGCCAGCTTTGGTGTTGACACAAAACTGATAAGGATCTTGCACCAACCCTGTTACATTAATTTCCATGTGGAACTTTGTCTGAGTCGGGGTCAGACTCCGCCACTGTAAAGCGCTCTGGGATGCTGCCCTGCGCGAAGGTCGCTATATAAATACAAGTTGTTGACAAGCCGTCCGCGGTTAGACCTCTGTTTAAGAGCTCCGAGACATTACCCCACGCGAAGGGCACTATATAATCGCAAGTTGTTGTTGCAATAAACGGAGTGAGAGCCAGCGATCTGACTCGTGTCGCCTTGTTGCTCCCTCCGCAGGGAATCCATGGGCCTCGGCTTCCAGGAGGAGTTCTCAGACCTGCTGCTGCTCAAGATGTTGCGATCGGCAACTCACGCGTCCAACGACAAAGACAAGGTGTGGCCTGAGCCGCAGAGCTGTGCACTCCCAACTCGTGAGCAGATCCTCATTGCTGCTGGCAACCCAGCACGGAAGGAAATATCTTCCAAGAGTTTCATTTCACCCCCCTCCTCTATTTCCCCCCCACCCCTCCTCTATTTCCCCCCCACCCCTCCTCTATTTCCTCCCCCATCCCACTCTATTTCCCTGCCAACCCCCAGCCCCCTCCCACCCAGGCCCTAAAATAAGGTGAATTTATCACAGCCTTTCAGTAGCTGTTAAATGTGCCACACAAAATTGGTCTTTGAAAGCACACACAGAGCGATGCTGAATATTGAAACTGTAATGACAAAGGGTCGAGGTGCTCACGACACACTGTGCTGCATCTATTTATAACCCGATGACAGACGAAGGCAGTCGCCTGCCTCACGTGGGTTTATAAGAACAAAGGCTGTTGTGTTTTGAAGGGATATAAGGGATGTGGAGTCCTGTAGCTCAGTGATTAGAGCGCTCACCTCTCAAGCGAGAGACCCGGGTTCGATTCCCGGCAGGGCGAAATCTTGGGCAAGCTTCCTTACTCCACACGCCGGATAGTAATCCCTCAAGAAAAAAACCCAATATTAAATTGGTCATTTCAAACCACGACTGTTTGTGGGACGCTGCTGTATGGAATTTACCTGTCGCGTTTCACCCACAAATATACAGTCAATTCACTTTATAGCATATTCTGTGGAGCGCTTTGAGACATCTCGAAGACATGAAGCACTATATCAAATTCAAGGATTATTATTATTATGTAATATTATGTAATGGGGCAGCAGGTTTCCCATTCTCGGCCTGGCTCAGTTGGCAACGCTCTCTCCTCTGAGTCAGAAGGTTGAGAGCTCAAGCCCAGCCGCTCTCTGCCGCTCTCTCCCCTGTGGAGGAGTTAAAGATCCCGTGAGTTTCTCCCCCTGGCCAGTAATACCAGAGGAAAAAGATTGGTCATTCACTTCACCTCTGTTTGTGCAAATTGGCTGCCACGTTCGCCTACAAAATACGTGGTCTTTTACACTGGACAGTAAATCCTGTGAAGTGGTTTGAGACATTCTCCTGACATGAAACTCACAAGCTATATCAAATGCCAGGATTATTATAACCCTGTGCGCGTGTGTGTGTGTATTTTTGTGTGTGTGTGTGTGTGTGTGTTGCGTGTGTGAGCGAACATTCTCTGATCTCGCAGTTATATATAATTATAGTTATATATAATCACTCCGCCTCGCCTCCTCCTTAGCCTCCTTCAAGTCCCGCCTCAAAACCCTCCTCTTCGACCATTCCATCAGTCACCCCCCCTTTCCCTCCCCTCTCTTCCCCCCCCTGACCCCAGCTCGGGTCTGTACACTGTCTAGTGTCTTGGGACGTCCTCCCGACGTGAATGGCGCTATGCAAACGTAATCTTGTTGTTGTTATCTATTGCGGAAGAGGTTAATGATCCTTAAACTATAAATCCCTCTGTGCCCATGGAATTAAGAGCCACATTTATTCTGTCAGGGTGAGGGGGGAAAACACACCCTCTTGAAAGGACACAGGACATTTACTGTGTGTTTCACAAGAATATTCACACAAGAATGTTAATTTTGTTTTAAGGTCGTTGCTTTACACTGCGGGAACAATTGGAATAATGGAACGATGCTGTGGAGTGTAATTCAGGAGTGTAATTGCGAGGCATAATTTAAATCTGTTTCCCCATCAAAGCTGCCTCCCACACCTCTCTCATCGTCTATTCAAGGCTGTGCCAATTAATCCAAGTGACATTTCTCCAAGCGGCAAATTTTATTTACTCTGCAAATCGTGACTTCATTGATCTCTTTTCCTCACCCCCAACTCCCCCCACCTCCCACCCCCCTCCCCCCGCCCAGTGCAACAAATTTTATTTGTAATATCTGATCTCTGAGATAGTCCCTGGTGTAACATGCTGCTCCTAGTGTGCATGTGTGGGATGACTCATTCTTTCTCCTTTTGGCCGTGCTTTCAGCTGCTGTAGAATTCTCTCCCTCAATCCGTGACTTGGCCCCCCCCTCCTGTTCCATTTTCAGATCACGCCCGAACACCTTCCTCTTCGACCGCGCTTACAGTCACCTCCCTTTCCCCCCACCCACCGGCTCGGCATCAGGCTCTGTCACTGTTAAGCGCTCCGAGACTCTACCCCACTTGATGGGTGCTATCAAAATGCAAGTCGCGGTTTCGGCTGCATGCCCGGCTGACGGACAGGGAAGTTGACCCAAAGGCGGCAACTCTTGCTGCTGTCCACTAGCGGGTGAACAAGAGGAGCCGGAGGTGGGTTATCTCTGCCGCCCCCTCCCCTGTGGAGGAGTTACCAGCCTTCATTCAGCGTCTCTGGTCTCAGCTCGTTGCCTATGACCTTGTCTCTGCTTTCCAGGTGAAGAGCAACGCAGTGCGAGCCCTGGGGAACCTGCTGCACTTCCTGCAGCTCAACCACATCGCCAAGCCCCAGTTCCAACCCGTAATCGAGGATTCGATTCAGGCTCTGATCCGCACCGTCCAGAGTGAAGCCACCATGAAGGTGCGCTGGAATGCCTGCTACGCTCTGGGAAACATGTTCAAGAATCCAGCCCTTCCACTCGGTCAGTGCAGTGCTCGTTTTGTCCATTTTCTCCCCCGTACGAAGTCGCTATAGCTGGGTCCCGGGTCGCTTTGCTTGGGAACTCGGGGACATAACGAACCGGAGTAGGCGATTCAGCCCCTTGAGCCTGTCCGCCCGTCCGCCTTGGAGGCTTTGCTTGGGGATATGGTTCTGGAACCATTTTGTTTGAGGTGCAGTTCTTGGATGCTTTGCCGGGATCTAGTTGTGGGACAATGTATTGTGTCTGAGGCTTGCTGTCATGGCATGGTTGAGTGGATCGATGGGTGTCTATGGGAGCTGGGATGTGGAATGCCCTATCTGGAACTATCTGGAACAGTAGCTTGAAGAGGGAATTAGGTAAATACATGCACCCAATGTCCTAACGCACTGAAAATTTCTGAGGCTTCAGGTTACCATTTGGCTCAGTTGGAGGCACTCTCTTGATTCTAAGCTGAAAGTTACAGCTTTGCCTTTCTGCGGTCAGCTCACAGTCTAGGCTGACCCTCTAGCGCAGATGTGAAAGGCGCTGTACAAATGTAATTTTCTGCTGCTGCTGTTGTTCTGGGGGAGAAGCCGTACACTTGTCGGATTTGACGTCCTTCGGATGAGATGCCAAACCGAGATCCTGGCTATTGATCGGGTGGATGTTGATGATGCCATTGCATTCGAAAGGGGAAAGAGAGTTTCTCAGCAGTGTCCTGACCGACAATAAATTAATGTGGAGTCCTGTAGCTCAGTGGTCAGAGAACTCGCTTTGCAAGCGAGAGACCCGGGTTCGATTCCGGGCAGGGTGAAACCTTGGACAAGTTTCCTTACTCCACACGCCTGATAATAATCAAGAATAAAAGACAATAATAAAATTGGCCGCTTCATTCCATGATTGTTCGTGGGACGCTGCTGTGCGCAATTGGCTGACACATTTTGCCCACAAAAGTCAATTCACTTTACATTTATTCTGTGAAGCGCTTTGAGACATCTAGAAGACATGATAAGGAGCTATATCAAATGCAAGGATTATTATTATTATAGTCCAGATAAGATGAGTCAACCCCAGGGAGAGAGGCTGTTCTCCTCTGTTTGCTCACAGTTCTTCACTCCTGACCCTCCGTCAGGCCTCTGCCCTCCACACTGTTGTTGTTCTTCTTCTCCTCCTTCTTCTCCTCCTCCTTCTCTTTCTTCTTGTGACTTTGTGTGCGTCTCTCCTCACAGCTTCGGCGGCCTGGGCGAGCCAAGCCTTCGGGGCTCTGACCTGGGTGGTGAAAACCTGCAAGAACTTCAAGGTCCGCATCAAGTCGGCCATGGCGTTGTCGGTGCCCACCCGCCGGGAGCAGTACGGCAGCCGGCAGCAGTACGCGGAGATCTGGAACGCCCTGGTGCTGGCTCTGGAGAAGAGCGAGGAGACTGAGGACTTCCTGGAGTTCCGCTACTGCGCCAGCCTCCGAGCCCGGCTCTGCCGCACCCTCCTCCACCTCCTGCCCCTGGCCGGGCCTGACGACCTGGCCTGCGTGCGGGTCAGCATTGCGGAGAAGGGAGGCCTGATCAGGACCTTCATGCTGCGCTTCCTGCGCTCGAGCGTGGACCCAGAGGAGGCGGGAGCCAGGCCGAACCAGAGGAGGAGAGGCGAAGGGCGTTGCTGAAGGCTTTCGAGCACGTGGGCACCCTGCGGGAGGTGTCGGAGTCGGGGCCGGGGGATCAGGAGCTGGTGGCTGCTTACCTGGGAGAGATGCTGGAGTGTTGCACGGAGTCGGAGCAGGTGCAGAACGGCCTGGTAGAGGGTCAGGAGTGAAGAGCTCTGAGCAAAGAGTGGGGGGGTGGTAAGGAGGAGAGAAGAGAGGGAGGTGGGGGGTGAAGAGAGCGAGGGGGTGGGGGAGAAGAGAGTGAGTGGGGGGGGAGAAGAGAGCGGGGGGGGCGGAGAAGGGGGGGGATGAAGAGGGGGTTCTGTCTGTCTCTAAGGTTTCCTCGTTAAATATTATGGAGAGGTTTGTGCCTCACATGACGCTGAACTGGCCCAACAGAGCAGGCTGTGCAGAGAGATTGGCAGTGCTGGCAGATGGAATGGTTTTTTTTTTCGGCATGCGTATGACCTATTTCTTCCTCTCCCCAGGTCGCGGGTGGCGCCACGACGCTGTTCCCAACGCGCGTTTCAGAAAGTGCCCGCCCCAGCCAGGATTCCCTCGACAAACCTCTCGCCAGCTAAAGGGAGTAATTGATCCCGAGCTCTCTGGGTTTGATGGCCAACACAGCAGAGAAACAGGGACTCTTTTTAAGTAGGTGCTGTTCGGACACCTCTGGGGGATGTTTTTCACTTAGAATGCCCCCCTCCCCACCCCATCAGATTCCAAACCTCCCTCCCTTAAGGTCGGGAATTGAGAACTCCCAAGCGATTCCCAAAGACAGTGCCTCTTCTGTACAGCGTTGAGTGGCTTTCCTAATTGTTACTTAAGAAATACAGGTCATTGCTTCGGATCGTGGGTGAGATCCCTGAGCCACACACATCATCGTGTGGCCTCAGAGGTTTTCGCTCGCTCCAGTCAGATTTCTATTTTTAAGAGTCCTTCCTTGACCATCAGCTGCTTGTTTCTCTTTAACATGTTTGGTTCTGATAATTGGTCCGTTTCAGAGGCAGAAGGCGAGGGAGGAGGGCTGGGGTGGGGAGGAAAAGAGATTACACCAGGAGCCAGATTTATTTTATTCTCTTAGAAGTGTCCAATTTCAAAGCGTCCGGATTGCAAAGCCTCCAGAATCTGGGAAGTTCTGCTAAAAACGGGTCTATTCTGAAGCTGCTTTCCTGCAAAAAAAANGCTTCCTTTTTAAAGAGAAGCGGCTTTAGAGTTGAGACTGAATTCAGCAGGTTGCCGACTTCTGGACGCTCGGAAATCCTTCGAAAATCAAGTAAATCCAGACCAGAAAATCAGTAAGTCAACGCCAGGGTTAACCGTGACATCTTCTGTCCCTAAATAAGGTCTTGGCCTTATTCGGCATTTGTGCAATTGAATGGTTGAGGTACAAACGAGAAAGAAATTGGGCTTTGGTATCTGGAACCTCTGAGTGCAGAACGCATTAGATCAGGGTAGCTCGCAGCTCGGGAGGGAGCAGAGAAAGAAAGGGGGATAAAGAGGGGTGGAAGCCAAGGCATCATTGATCAGGATCATACTGGAATCAGTCGCCCTTGCCTCAGTTGACATCGAGTGCCACCTTCTAAAGGATAGAGGGATTAAGGGATATGGGGATAAGACATTCGGTTTGAAGATCAGCTACAATCTTATTAAATGGCGGAGCAGGCTCGAGGGGCCAAATGGCCTACTCCTGCTCCTACGTCTTATGATCTTATGGTCTCCTTCCAGTCTCTGACCTGAGTTGGAGCAAAGCATTCTTGCCACGCGAGTGAGTGGATTCCTGTAGCCTTTGAATGACAGTGTAGCCTTTTCCATTGAAAGTCATCTCAATGTGCCTATATGCTTGTCAGATAAGGAATTGGTGGCACAGTAGCTCATTTGTCACTCACAGCCCAGGTTCCCTGACACTCTTTCACACCACAGACTTCACACTTAGCCAAGTGCAGACGAGGTTCAATGCTCCGACCAGTCAGGAACACCTTACTGTTAATGCATTCGTATAAAATATCTTGAGCCTTAATTAAAATCAATGCCTTTTAATGTCGCAATACGAATGGTGAGATAATTGTTTACATAAGACATAACGATGTAATTTTTCTTATTTATTTCTAAATGCGGGTTAGCTTTCACCCATTAAATAATTTGAGGTTACAATTAAAATGTGCTTGTTCTGGGTGTGGCTTTTTCTAAATTGGCTCGTCCGATTGGGGCATTAAGCAGTCCGGGACCCTATCCTGTGCGAAGGGCGCTATTCAAACGCAAGTTGTTGTTGTTATTGGATTCATTTCTTCAGATTAAAACATGGCTTTAGTTTGCTTAAACCCTGTTATGCATTAACTTCCCTCCCACTATCATCAGGACTCGAACCATGCAGTGCATCTTTCTTTGTGTGTGTGTGTGTGTGTCTCTCTCTCTCTCTGGGTCTCACAGCACTTTTCAGTGTATTAATTGATGAGTCTGAAACCTGACAAGCTTTGGCTGATTGCTATACTGCGCAGGCACCAGTAATTCCTCAGTCAATACCCTAGGTGGTGCAGGTTTCTAACTATTTCACCGAGCCATTCGCTGCTTGAACATTAGGAGTGAGGGGATGGTGCTGAATTGTCAGAGACTCTGCCCTGTGGATGAAATGTTAATCTGAGCTCCCGTCTGCCTGTTCAAGTGGATGTTAAAGATTCCTGCGGCCCTATTCACAAATAGAAGGGAATTTTTCCCGGTGCTCTGGCCAGCAGTCCCCCATATTAAAATCTATGAATATATATCCGTCAATAGTAACTTTTATCCACACCGCCCTCCCCCCAAAAGCACAAATTCAGACTTTGGCTTGTTGCTTTATTCTGCTATCTCTGACCTCTGACTGTTTGCATTCAAAGTGATTAGGTTAGGGTCAGGTTGTAAATAACAGGAGCAAATAATTGAAAAATGCTCTTGGGTAGGTAGGTGCACGTTTATGCCCTTCAAAGCCCTCTTCCCTACAACAAAAGTTACAACACACTATAAATTTACATTTACATAAGGCCTTTTGCGTCAGGAGGACGTCCCAATGTGCAGCTGGTACCAATGTAGTCAGTGCCTTGCTCCTTGGTCCCTGTTAACACCACCTGATAAGGCGTCTATATCAACAGTAAGGATTATTGCAATCTTATCAGATGTGCGACTGTCTTGTCTGCATGTCTGGGCTGTGGTTTTATCAGATCAGATGAACTACCAGATGAGGTGATACCATTTCCGATGCTTCCTACTGGAACGAAGGAGCTAACGTAGCACAATCACGCAGCTTAAGCACAGGGTAAAGGAAAAGAAAGATGTCCTTCATAAGCTGCTAGAGGTTTTGTTTGATATTAGTTTCGCAGCGATACAAAGATTTGAGAAACGTCAACAAGTTCTGCAAACAAGGCAACAGCCCCCTCTCCCCCCCCCCCCCCCCCCCCCCCACACACACAGACAATAAACCAAGGGAAGATTTCTCCCAGAGGGAAGCCACACATGCTTTCATTAATCGTCTCCACAGCAATACAATGCATATTTACATTTATATAGCGGCTTTCACGTTGGGTGGACGTCCCAGTCTGGGGGCGGTGGGGGCGGAGAAATATGACTGAAAAAGTGACAGATGGTTTGAGGGGTCATTTGGTTGCCTGACAAACATTACGAATGAGATTAGGAGATTTATCATCCTCACTCCTATCACTCAAGTTTTTCAAACAATGAGTTACTTTGAAGCACAGTGACTGTTACACAAACAAACATGGAAATAAGCATTGGGATTGAAAACAATTTGGTGCATTTGAGCGAGGGAAGAATATCACCAGCCTATACTGATGATGGATATCTGCTTTAACCTTTTATCCTTTGAATGAGATTAAACCGAGGTCCCGTCTGCTTGTTGAAGTGGACGTTAAAGATCCAGCAGCATTCCTCAAAGAGAGATTGAAGTGTCCTGGCTGACAATCGCCGGATACAGTCGGCCGTTCACTTCTTGGCTGGGGCGTTGGATGCAAATACACAGTCGCTGCACTTTACAGTGAATCTGTGAAGCGCTTTGAGGTGTCCCCCTGACGTGAGAGGCGCCGTGTGAAATGCAAGGATTATTATTAATAATAAAATGAATAGTAACCACTCGCTACTCATCAATCTGAGGGATTGATAATAAATTGGTCATTTTCAATCTACGACTGTTTGTGGGACATTGCTGTGCGCAATTGGCTGCCGCGTTCGCCCACAAATACACAGTCAATTCACTTTACAGTGTGTTCTGTGAAGCGCTTTGGGATTGTTTTGACCGAGATACCAGGAGCAACTCCCGTAACATCCACCTGAACAGACAGAAGGGACCTCAGTTTAACGTCTCAACCAAAGGACAAAACCTCTGACAACGCAGACCTTCCCCAGCACTGCGCTGGAATGTCAGCAGAGACGATGAACTCAAAGTCTAGTTATGGGGTTCGCATTCCAGTAACCTCTGAGTCAGAGGTGAGTGTGCTACCGACTGAGCCAGGCTAATGTGCGAGGATAAGTGAACAAATGTGCCCTGTGCAGACAGGAAGGGAAGTGAAATCCGATGATTAGAAATGATTAATATTGAGCCTTCACCATGTCATGAGTCAGTAGATTTGGTTCTTATTTGTTAACCTCTTGATACGACACTACGGAGGAAGGAGCTGAAGCAAGCTGTCCGAGATGCATTTTGCCTCTGCACGCACGCACGCACACACGCGCACACGCACAACACACACACCGATCCTTTGAATGCAGTCAAACACTTGTACTGAATTACAATTAAGTGCATCTAAGTACAATTATTATCAGTCTTCCGCATGTTTCAGTTGTTGGTCAGTGCACCGTAGGAAAAAACACGGGGTGGGTAGCAGGACTTTGTGGACACCCTGTACATTGCCGGGCGTTTTGTCTTACGATCCTTTGGCCACTAGAGGCTTCCCCATCACTGCGTTCTGCAAGAGAAAGGTGTGCTCCACTGACTCCAGGCCTGGGCTTGAGATTGTCCACAACAGGTGGGTTTTAAACCAGTTCTGTCAGCCCACAGAGTTCACAGGTCATCGTAACACACATCCTGTGCGTTATTTCCCCCCTGTTTTACCTGTTTATGGACCATTGAAAACAATAATAATAATAATCCTTGTATTTGATACAGTTTTAGGGAGAGGAAAATGAGTAAATGAGTCCCTGTTCCTGATCACAATCCATCGAAGCTACTGGAGCCGGTGTCTGTGTCTGTGAATTGGGATTGAGCTTTGCTGTGAGTGAGGTTGGCAAACTTTTTTTAATATATAATATAGTATTATATTATATATTCCATCGCCTCGTTCATACATTCCCAGTGTAACTTGATTCTGGGGGTAATAATGCTTCCCCAATTTTTTTTAATAATAATAAGAGAAATTCAGTCACTCCATCCATGACTCTTTGAGGGGATACTGCTGTGTGCAATTGGCTGCCGCTTTTCACCCACAAAACATACAGTCAATTCTCTTTACAGTATATGAAGCGCTTTGAGGACCCACCACCCCCCCGCGCCCCCCAGCCCTCACCTCACGGAGACTGTTTTTGGTGTTAAACAGAA